CAGGCTTCAGCCTGGGGGCATTTCTCTTCCCACAGGTACCAGCTCTGTGGCTGTTGCTAACAGTAGCTTTGACTAAATCTCTATCATTCTATTTATAAATAAGACTCAAGATTCAAAGGCTGGGGCAAAAACCTGCTGGCTCACAGAGACTGGGTCGTAATTAGCTAACTTTCCCCCTTGCTGGCATCTCTGAAAGACCCATGCTTCTGCTTCACCAAACCAGAAAAAGCTGCGCCACTCAAAACCCTCCCTGCTACTTCCTGTGTCTGTCTCTCCTGGATGCCCTCTGATGCTCTATGGTTACTTTCTGTCAGTCACTAATTGCTAACACAGCCTCCTGACCCAGGGTTATTTTTATTTAATTAACTCAAATGCAGACTTGGGGTTCACAGTGTGATCAATATCCTCCAACAAGTGTACTCCCGTGTCTTGTTTCTTCTTTTCCATATCTTTTTGGTGGTGAGCTGGAGCTTAGGTTTGTCTGCATGGGCTTTTCCAAGTAGCTTATTGATAACAAGTAGAATAGAAGGTTAATTCTCATTAGATGCCAGTTTACGGTAAAGTGAATCCAGCTGTGATTTGGATAATCTATGTGCAAAGTGTGGCCAAAGGACTCCCAAGACTTCCAGTGGCTCTATTGAATCACAACTGTGTTAATAATTTTGGAGTTTTTTTTTCCACTTTGCAATCTCAGGATTTAAAAAAACAAAACAACAATCAAAAAAGAAACAAACAAAGAAGCCAGAATTTCTACCAGATGTGCAGTGTGATGGCTGTGATGGTGAATGGAATGTATATGTGTGTGTTTTAAATTTCCAATATAGGAAATATTGAAAGGTATGCTGTGTATTTTTAAATTTTGCCAACAGGACTAGAGAAATGGCTCAGTGGTTGAGAGTATTTGTTCCTCCTCTACAGGACTCAGGCTCAGTTACAAGCAGCCACACAATGGCGCACAGCCATCTGTAACTCTGGTTCTGGGGATCTGACACCTTCGGCTGACTTCTGCCAGCACTAGACAGTCATGTGGTGCATAGACACGTGTCCATGTAAGAGGCATGCACATAAAATAAAAATAAATAAATCTTAATTTTTAAAAGATGATGCCAGGGCGTTTCAGCAAGTTAAGTACATGTTGAGGTTCTTAAATCATTATGTGGATATCATGTCCTCTAGAAAGAATCCAGCATGTTGTTGGACACAAGGAAGATCCAGGAGTGCTTTGAGAGTTGTCAACTATAGCCTAATGTCTAGTATTCCGGCAGAAATGTGAAGGATTGCACACACAAAAACTCCTCAAGCCTGTGGAGTTTTTTTAATTAATAAAAAACCCAGAGCCAGATATTGGAGTGAAAACCGAGAGATTGAAGGAATAGGATAAGTCACAGCCAACCTCACCTTACCAACTCCTCAGCCTCCAAAGAGACCTACTTCCTGTATACCCATGCCTATTTACCTTTCTGTTCTGCCATCTCTCTTCCTCTCTTTGTCAAGCTACATCACTTCCTGTCTGTCTGTACAGACCTCCAGACCTCTATGGTTAGTGCTGGGATTAAAAGCGTGTGCTACCACTGCCTGACTTCTATGTTTACTATAGTGGCTGATTTTTTTTCCTCTGATCCTCAGATAAGCTTTATTGGGTGCACAGATAAAATATCACCACAATCCTTCTAGCTGTTTATTATTTGGGAAAGTGTAGATCAATTTATGAAACGTGGGAAACAGTGGGTATGTGCAGGAGATCATGTGCCAGGCAGCACAGTGTGAGAGCCCAGGAGGATGAGCCGTCGAATGGCCCTTGTCAGGGTTACCGCCAGGCTCCTCACCCTTAGCGGAGTCACCCTCAGTGTCTTCCCTTTTCACAAGGGACATCCTAGAGGTATAGATTCACTGTGGCCTGTTTGTGTCTGGGAATTTCACACCTGCTGAGAATAAGATCTGTCCTTTCATGGTTCTTGGGAAATATGGTAGAATCTGGATTTGAGACAGCCTTCCATTCTCTTTATGTGTATAATTTATGTTGATTACCTACTGTTGTCCATCTTTTGGAGGCGAGGGTTTGGAAGCTCTGAGGCAGGGGAGATTAACAGGGTGGCTTTGAAAAATGAAAGGGTTTGATACTTAGTGAAGAGAAGAAAATCAAAGTTGTGGACTGTTGTTTGTTTTTGCTCTTTTGAGGGTCCTGCCATCCAGCTCCCAAATAAATCACACAGGGAGGTTATTCTTATTTATAAATGTCCAGCCTTAGCTTGGCTTGTTTCTTGCCAGCTTTTCTAAACTTTAAATTATCCCATCTACCTTTTGCCTCTGTGCTTTTCTTGTTCTATTACTTCTGTAAATCTTACTCTGTGGCTTGCTAGGTACTTGGGTGACTGGCCCCTGGAGTCCACCTCCTTCTCTGGCTACTTTCTTCTTCCCAGATTTCTCCTTCTATTCATGCTCTCTGCCTGCCCGCCCTGCCTATCCTTTCTTGCCTCACTATGGGCCGTTCAGCTCTTTATCAGACCATCAGGTGTTTTACACAGGCACAGTTAACACAGTTTCACAGAGTTAAACAAATGTAACATAAACAAAAATAACACACTAAAATAATATTCTCCGATAGTGAACTTGGCTTGATCCAAGGTAAAGGACATCTAGAATCCAGAAACCAAAATGCAAGCATAAGGCACCCAGTTCAAACATGTTATATAACAGACCACTGCAGCTAAGTTCAAAGTCACAGTATAGAACGCATCATCATCTTTTTCCTTTAAGTGCAGAGAGTTGTGTCACCCCACCCCATGTGTGTGCTGCTCTGTATGCACGTGGAAGCCAGCGGTCTACCTTGGGTGCCTGTTCTCAGGAGCCATCCACCTTGGGTTTTGAAACAAAGTCTCTTATCAGGACCCAGGGCTTGCTGATTAGGTTAGCCTGGCTGGCCAACGAGCCCTCGGGATCCACTTAGCTCTGCCTTCTGAGCACTGCTTTCATAAACACACACCACTGTGCTGGGCTTCTGATGAGTGTGCTGGCCTCCCTGTGTAGCAAGCACTGAGCCACCTCCCTCACCAGCTCTCGAGCTACCTGTGAGAACTCTCTGTAACTCCACGAGTCACTGACCACTGCTGACTCTGAATCATTCTGTTTGTTATGTGATAGTGATTGTTATCCATTGCTTACCAGGGACAGAAATTGTTTTAAATTCTTTGCTTCTTCTCATGAGGCACTTATTATTTTTCCCCACGTTAACATGAACCGATTCTGAAGCAATTAAGATGTACTTAAGCACTTTACCTGCCTGTTAGAGCTGGAGTCTCTGCTCTGCCCTATCCTTCTGTGCCCTCCCTGTGGGACGCTGACTCACGGTTGGCTGCTGTGAGCTAGAGGAGAAAAGTGTGTCTCGGGTGCTAGGACAGAGGAGGGAAAAGCTGCGTGTCTCGGATGCTGGGACTGAGTGTAGAGTTGTAAGGAACTCATTTTTGCCAGTCTTAATGAACTTCTAAAACAATGGTCCAAATGCTTTGAAGAATTCCCCTGCACTGCATTTGTGCTAAGCAACATGAGCCGTGTGATGTGAAGGCGGCTTCATCAAGGGCTTTTGCTGTCATGTCTGCAGATTTGTGGAAGTCACAATTTTTAACATTCTTTTCATTTTTTTAGTCCCTTTACTAATGCAAGTTTGTCATTAATAAATTTGCATTGCTACAAAATACTTTGAGGTTCTGCCCCCAGACAGGGTCTCACTAATGTAACCCATCTGGAACTCACTATGTATCCCTGGCTGGCCTTGAACTCACAGACATCTGACTGTCACTGCCTCCCAAGTGCTGAGATTAAAGAGTACAGTACCACACCTGGCCTGAGTGTCTCTTTAAAAGTCAGAGGAGTACAGATTATTTTCTCAGGAAATTAGAGTCCTTTCATCTTCTCACCACTTCATGTGAAACAAAACCCAAATTTGTCTGGAAGAGGAGTAGGAAGAGTGCATGGTGCAGGTAGACCAGAGACGTGGCCCCTGCCTAGAGAGAAGTGGCCCAGGCCTCATCTGAGATGTCTTAATTCCATGAGAGCTAATGTCCTTTTTGGATCGTGATCAATCTAAAACCATTTTCCCTTCACGGCTCTACTATCAGCTGTCTTCATTGAGAACACGCTGCTGGCCAAGGGTGCCTCTGTTGTACTTGGTGTACTAGCCTGGTGTTAGCCAGAGGTGGCCAAGATTTAGCTTTCATTTGAATGTGTGATATATTTACTAAGACAGGTGTTAGTATTTATGGAATAGTACCAGATCATTTGACTTGAAATCATTTTCATTGCATGTCTGGTAAAATGACTGAGTCTTGTGATGCCGTGTTATGGTTTATTATATCATTCTTTCCACTAGTGGGCACGTAATGCGCCCACTCTGCAGACTGCTGGTTCCAGGGCCTCTGTGGCTACTAAAGTGCATGGGTCTTAGAATCCTACTCAGACACAGTGTGATGCATGCGTGCAACCCAGGCCTTCCTCTCACACTTGGCTTGTAGCACACAGCACCTCCTACAGAGGAAATGCGGTATCAGCAGTTGTTACACTGGATTATTTAGGGAATAATGACAAGTCTGCACATAACCATACACATCCTTTTTATTTTTAGAATTTTTTTTTTATCTATGGTTGATTGAATGTGTAGATGTGGAATTCATGATGCAGAGAACCAACTATGTTTGCAATTTCTTTAAAAACCAGTGTGCCCAGTATAAAAATATTTTGGAAGTTTGCAATAAGAGTATACATATAAGCCATAAAACCCTTTTAGTGGGTTTTGTTTTTCTCCTGTTGGCTGGTATGGGGAGTTTGTGTTTCTGAGCTTACAAATGCTTCCCACACAACAGAAACAATCCAACAGGGCAATTCCAGTGTGTTATTTTTGCCTTTACTTTGTTTCAGGCTGGTGGTGTTAGTAAAGTTCTCTTGTTAGAAGGCACAGCTAACAGTCCTGAATGACTCATGGCCGCCTCTCTCATTTCCTCCCCTAGAGGTATATTGCCATTGGAGAGCTGGGAAAAGCCACCGACACTCTAGATGCTACCGGGAAGGTAACAGATGAGAAGCCGTACGGTACGGAGCCTCTAACGCCGTTTTCCTCTGCAATTAAACAAAGTTTGTGTGATTGCAAAATGCAGAACTTAAGTAGCATGTGGTGGCATCCACTGGTAATCCCAGCACTTGGGAGATGGAGGCAGGAGGATTGCAAGTTCCAGACCAGCCTGGCTACACAGTGAGAATCTGTCCCCGAAAGAAAAGTCACAGCAGAATTACAAACAAATGTTGCTTGATATTTTCAGACCTGAGTACATTTCTCTAGCTTGAGCAAACTGGAAATTGCTCATCACATCACAGCTTACTTGCTGTAAGTTTTATAGAGACTTTATAGGTGCTTTCCCCATAAGTGTTCGTCATGTTCAGAATTATTTGTATTTATAGCTGGGATTTAGGCTGTTTTTCCTCATGAATGAGTAACAAAACAGTCGTTATCATGTTGGATTTGACCTGGTCATGCCTCTAATTTTTCTCAAACTGACTTCCCAGCTGTTGAAATGAATGCGCCTAAGTTAGTCCTGCAGAAGTCATCATGTGCCTGTGTTTTGGAGTGAAGAGATCCAACAGGAGAGAGCTAATTCTCTGAAGTAGTGGGGACTCCCCAGGGCCCGCCGTAATTTGTCTGCTATTCTTTTCCCTACTTTAAGAAAGGGAAGATAAATGAACTGGTCGCCTAGCAACTCGCACGCGCAGGAGCTATTTATAATGCAGCCTTGCGGTGCCGTCTGCGAGTTCACCTGCATTGTTATGTCACCGATTGTGATTATTCGTAGGCGTTCCGGTCTTCCCTGTGTGTGACATGAACTCTTCCTGATTTGACTGCAGACAGTGTAGTGTCTGCTTCCCTGGGCCGCTGTGTTGATTGCCCTTACTGCAAATTCCATATCAGGACAGTAGCAAGAACGACCTTTTCTTGTTCCTAATGGCTTCACTTGCCCTGCTAACGTCCCTGTGCCTTTGTATCTCACTCAGTTAATCAAGCAGTGTAATGAAAATTAAGACACTAATTTTTTTCACAGCCTAGATGTTGAGGTATCCATGAAATTATTATTGGAATTGGTGAATACTGGCAGTTCAACTAAATACTCATATTTAGGTGAGGCCCAGCTATGACTTTCAGCTCGTGAGTTTTTAAGGAATAAGAGGCCTGAGACAAGAGGCAGGGCAGACTTTCTGAGTATGCCAGGGATGCTGGCGACAGTGACACACAAATAAGTCAACCTCCTCTGCCCTCGCCCCGTTGGCCAAGCGTCCACAGGAAGGGACGAGGGCGGTGTGGAGGGAGCGCAGCGGAGGAGGACTGCCCGTCCTAGCCTGTGCTCTGAGTATCTCTAAAGCTCTTTGTCGTCTCCAAAATGATGATTCCGCTTCATGTTGTTGCAGCAGGTGACAGGGCACCACACAGACACCTCGGGATCACCAGCCTCTAGTAGTAGCTGAGGCAGAACCGGTGGTAACTGGGACCAGGTGCTAGTGGTAGAGGCAGAGACAACTGTAGTTAGAAGGGACCAGTGAGTTAAAGGGATGCAGCCTGGTGATTGACTTCCTGGATGGGGGTAGTAAGGAGCCCGTCAGTTGTGACCTGGGATTTCAGGTCACAGAACTAGTTAGAGGATGCTGCAGTTCCTAGAGTGGAGGACTGGGGAATGCTTTCTTCCTGGCCGAAGCATTTTGGAATCTTAACATTTTCAGCATTGTATTTGTTAATTTGTAACTTTGTTTATGCTGAAGAAAGCTCAGGGCTAGAGAGATGGCTGTGTGGGTGAAGCGAGCTGCTGAGGTATGAACGCCTGAGGTCCCATCCCTGGACCCATGCAGGGCTGTGCCATCTCCTGGAGGGAGACGGAGGCAGAGACAGGAGAATCTCCAGCTGCCACGGGCCGGCTAGTGTGGCATGTGCAGCAGCAAGCATGGTGGCCGGTGTGGACCTGAAGTTGTCAGATCAGAGGATGACTTCAGCTGTCCACTCGGTTCTGTACTCATGAGTGTATTTCCTCAATTTATATCCTAATAAATTCCCTAATACTCCTTAGGCAGACTCCTGTGGATTTCTCTCAGCTATGACTTTCAGCTCATGAGTTTTTAAGGTCGAGCATGAGACTCTTAATCTCAGAGTTGTGGGTTCATGCCCCACATTGGGCACCAGATAAAGTGAGAAATTCTCAGATCTGACCAGGAGAGAATCCACCTGGCAATTCAGTCACACTAGGAAACAGGGAGAAGGGACCTTGTGACCCCTCTCCTTTCCTTTTAAGAGGTCATGTACAACAGCGAGAAGCATCGCCTCCTTCGGCCTATAGCCCACGGTCATGGGTGGAGCAAATACCACTGCACAAGTTAGTTGATTGTGTGAGCCTTGCTGTGGTGTCCTCGACCCCTCTGGCTCCTACACTCCTTTTTCCTCCTCCTCCTCCTCCCTCCCCTCCTCTGAAAGATTCCTAAGCTCCACCTAATGTTTGGCTGTGGCTCTGCATCTGCCTCCATCAGTTGCTGGATGGCACCTCTCTGAGGACAATTGGACCAGGCACCAGTCTGGTCACAGGAGACGGGTCAGTTCAGGTTCTATCCACTGTTGCTGGAGTCTAAGCTGGGCTCCTCCCCGTAGACTCCTGGGAGATTCCTCTGGGCCAGGCTCCCACCTGACCCCTAAGTGCACCCCAACAGTCTCCCTCAGCACTCTTCCCCTCTGACCCCGAAATCTGATGCTCATGTTCCCATCCCCACCTGCCCTCAGTCCACTCATACAGACTCTTCTGTTTCCCCTTTCCAGGGAGATAAGGGTGTCCCCCCATAAACTCTCCTTGTTACCTAGTCTCTCTGGGTCTGTGGATTGTAGCATGGTTATCCTTTATTTTACAGCTAATGCCCACTTATTAGTGAGTACATACTAGGTTTGTCTTTCTGGGTCTGGGTTACCTTACTCAGGATGATTTTTTTCTAGTTCCATCCATTTGCCTTCAAATTTCCTTGTGTCCTTGTTTTTAACAGCTGAGTAATACTCTATTGTGTAAATGTACCACATTTTCTTTATCCATTCCTTGCTGAGGGACATCTAGGTTGTTTCCAGGTTCTGGCTATTACAAATAAAGCTGCTATGAACATAGTTGAGCAAGTGTCCTTTGCCTTATAGAAACTTTTCAATTTCATGAGGTCCTATTTATTAATTGTCAATCTTAGTGCCTGTGCTGTTGGTGTTCTGTTCAGGAAGTTGTCTCCTGTGCCAATGCATTCGAGATTATTTCCCACTTTCTCTTCTCTCAGGTTCAGTGTACCTAAATTTATGTTGAGGTCTTTGATGCACTTGGACTTGAGTTTTGTGCAGGGTGATAAATATGGATCTGTTTGCATTGTTCTACATGCTGACATCCAGTTAGACCAACACCATTTATTGAAGATGCTTTCTTTTTTCCATTGTATAATTTTTACTTCTTTGTCGAAAATCAGGTGTCCATAGGTGACACACACAATGTTTTAAGCAAGAAATATTTTTCTATATTCTAGAAATTTTTATTGCTTTGCCTCTGACAGTACATGTCCAATCCATCATTTACAGTACATGTCCAATCCATCATTTTTCCTTCCATGGATATCCAATTGGCCTGGTGCTTTCTCCATTATTCTGCATGTCACAAATCAAGCGCCTTAACAGGCATGGGTTTGTCTGGAATCTGCATCGTCAGCTCAGTAAGTTGGTCCATCCTTGTCTCAACACTAAAGGATATGTTATCTTAGATTATATTACAGACCCCCCCCCTTAAAAATACTTATTTTATGAAAAGAATTCATCTTTTTCTTTATTTCCTTGCTGAAATTGGCTTGTTTTTAAATCATGAACATAAAGTGAATTTTGGGAGGGATTGTGGGCTGTCTCAATCTTGTGCAGGTAACCATGGCTGCCCTGAGTTTATGAGTGGGATATTCATGTCTTGTCCAGAACATAACCTTAACGAAGTTTTTCCTCTGATTTTTTTCTCCATATTCAAATGTTAAATTAATTGCACAGTTCTGGAGTTGAGTTAACTTGGTCAGCATGTATTACATAATCATGGTAGACTTCATAGGTGAATATTTAGTTTGGGCTTCTGCATCTATATCTGTGACTGGCATCTTCTTGTATTTGTTTTTTTTATCCCTGCCCCCAACTCCACCCTCTCAGGGTTCTGACTGGGCCAGAGAATTAGGTTGATGTAAGAAAGATGTTTCTGTTTTTAAATGTGGTTTTATCTTGGTGGTGCTGGAGAGAGCCCAGGCCTCCACAGTGGCCCTGCCTCTGGGCTGTGCCTTTGGCCCGGTTTATCTCATCTCTTAATAGCCTTTCTCTTTTCTGGAAGAATTTGTGTCCAGTTGAAATAACTTCTTCTTCTAATATTTGGTAGTACTTACTGGTGACATCTCTGGGATGTTCTTTATAAGGACAGTTTCAAATTACGAATTTTTGAACTCTAGGCAGAAGCACATTTTGAGATGTTTGTCTTTTTCTCCTCTTCCCAGACCATAGTCCTTGCTCCCTGCTCTGTAAGGGCCAGAAACAGGTGAGTGAGGCCTGGGTGACTTGGCCGCTGCCTTGGCAGCTGGACTGTCCAGCAGTGGCTCACTGTGGTGGAATATTACACTAACTGTTGTTCTGTGTTTGCTCCGGATTCAGGTCGGCAGCAAGCACCGTGCTGTGTGCATGGAAGGATTGATGCACTGGGAGCGAGTAGTGGACTGCACAGCTTGTTCCTGTCTGTAGTGATGTGTGTGTGTGTGTGTGTGTGTGTGTGTGTGTGTGTGTGTGTGTGTGTGTGTGGTGCTGCGGATTGAACCCAGGACCCTTTTCCCTGTTAGGCAGCTGCTTTGCCACTGAGCTGCGACCCCAGCCTAGAGAATGACTTTAAAGTGCAGTTCAGATGAAGGCTTTCACGTTGGTGGCTCCTTATGTCACAGGACAAAGAAGGACGTACCCAGGGCCCTTACACCTGTGCTGCACCTCTCTTTTTTGGGTTCATCACTGGGTGTCCCTCGTGTGGAGAACGTTATCTGCATCTTTAGATCTTGTGGTAGTAGCATTGTTAAGTCATGGGGCGGCTATCTGATGGGACTAAGACCAGGCTTTAGACACAGCAGTGTTTCACTGCATACCCATGTGCCCCAGCTTGACTTTTATTATAGGATACCCTGCTCTGGAGGCTTTCTTTGTGGTTTTCCCAACATTGCACAAATGATTGGCCTGGTGACTTTTAAATGCCCTTCACCCTGGAGATCTGTTACGCTGAGCAAATTAGATTTCAGCAAGAACGTCTTGAGTGCCATCTTAATAGTGTGTGATCGCAGAAGAAAAACTGTCTTTGTCTTCAAAGCGCAGGATTTTGTTGGTGAGTTAGTAGCTCAGCATGCCAGAATGAACAGCATGCACCCCACAGATGCCTGAGCTATAAAGTCAAAGGGAGATGATGCAACAGAAGTGTAATGAGATGGAGCATGTCTCAGTATTGTGTGTGTGTGTGTGTGTGTGTGTACATCCTTGTGATGGGTGTGTGTGTGTGTGTGTGTGTGTGTGTGTGTGTGTGTGTGTTTGTGTACACATCCATGAAAGAAAGCCACTGAAGCAGGACAAAGGCGAGCATGTTCACAGGAAAGGAATGTCAGGGAAGAGCCGAGCCTAGCAGGAGTGGACAGCTGTCTTGTTTTGAACTACCTGGCTAAGTCAATGCACTGTAGCAGTTTTACCAACTATGGCATTCCCATCAGTCAGGCCAGCCTGGTGGTAACATGGGCCACCTACATTTGGCAAGCTCAGAATAGCGTAACTAAGGTGCCACTTGTAATTCTTTAATGTCACAGCAGAGATCTGCAGTGGGCGGGGCTGCCATCAGATCTGTGGTGGGCGGGGCTTCTGCCTGAGATCTGTGGTGGGCGGGGCTGCCATCTGAGATCTGTGGTGGGCGGGGCTGCCATCTGAGATCTGTGGTGGGCGGGGCTGCCATCTGTGATCTGCGGTGGGCGTGGCTACCATCTGAGATCTGTGGTGGGCGGGGCTGCCATCTGAGATCTGTGGTGGGCAGGGCTGCCATCTGTGATCTGCAGTGGGCGGGGCTGCCATCTGAGATCTGTGGTGGGCGGGGCTGCCATCTGAGATCTGCAGTGGGCATTGGAAGCTGCTAAAGAAAATACAGGATTGTTGCTGTCCACTGGCTGAACCTCGAAGATTCCAGTTTTGTTTGTATTTAGCTTACATGGTTACAATGAGGCTAAGACTGTCTTGCTGGGTGTACACAGTACTCTCTGATGTCCCTTAAGTTTTATCATGGTATTGGAACAATTCAGAGCACAGTAATTTTTGTCTAATATTTTTCAAATAAAATCAAATGCACATTTACCAAAAAGTTTAAATTTGCTCTGAAATAATAAAAACATTGACAGTAGTCTAAATGAGTTATAGAATATTTCCAAGGTATGGTTTGTTCTTGATCATCTGCAAGTATGAAAACCCAAATACTGAATTTGAGCTAGTATAATACTGCGTCCTTCTGTTGAACGCACCAAAAAGAGCCTGAAAACATGACTGGCATGTGAAAAGCTTTATATATAAGTCTGTAGTAGAAGTTTCTCGGTCCAGACCGGCTCCACGGTGGGATGGATCTCTCCCACCCAAGCTCCTGCAGCCGGTTATAAAATAATCATTCAGAGGCTTATATTAATTACAAATCATACGGCCTATGGCTCAGGCTTCTTGCTAGGTAGCTCTTTCATCCTAAATTAACCCTTGTCTATTATCTATATGTTGCCACATGGCCATGGCGTTACTGGTCTGCTGGCATCTTGTTCCTTCGGTGGCTGGACCATCTCAACCAGCAGCCTTGAAGCCTCTGTGGGTGCAGAACTCAGGGGAAACTGCGGCAGAAGTGTTCTGAAATGTTGGATCATCTGGTCCATCTGTTTCCATTGGTGTCTGCTCCCCTCATCCTAAAAATATATACATTTTTTAAAGTAACATACATCTCAGCATTAATACAAGTACAGACTGTACATTGTACACAAGTCAGCCAAAGACAATTTCTAGTTATGTGTTTGAGCAGGTAAAATATACATCACGTGGCTTGCATTTCTTTCAGGTTTATGTTTTTATGTCTGTAGTCAGGATTTCAGGGGATCTTCTTCAATCAAATCTGATCATGTTTAATTTTGAATGAATCATAGCATCTCATTTCCTGTGGAAATAAAAGCATAACCTCTCCCCCAAAGTGGCATACCTTTTGACTTAAGTTTTGGAGTCAAGATATTTTTAAAACATGTGGGTTGGTTTAATCCAGCAGCTTTTATAATCAAATGTCTTATAGCAGTCAAAAATTTTAAAGACAACACAGTAATACACATAATCCAGACTTTATGTGCATAAGACAACACAGTAATACACATAATCCAGATGTTATGTGCACTATCCATCCTTATGTGGCTCATTGTTGAGCTTCTAAGACTCTCCGTTTGGAAGTTTGTCTTCTTGGCATAAAAAATGGCCTGCTGAGCAAAGAACTGCCCTTGCCTCAACTGCTGACAATAGGCACACTGTCCTTTTTGGATGAGCAGGACACAAGGAAAAGCAACTGCTGAACTTTGCCAAGACAGGGTAAGACAGTCTCTCAAAATTCCTGCTTCTGAAAATGGTCTGTCAGATATTCTAGGCCTGTAGCCAAAAATGGATGCCCCAATGGTGCTGAGAAACTTTAGGTAACTGTCCAGGCTGCCAGCTGTCTCTGTCTATTCTCCCAATTTTTTGGAAGTTGCTTACTTGCACTTCCTGTTTTCTCAGGAATATTATTTTCCTTCTCAGTCTTTGATGGGGTTGGAGACTAGATAGTTACAGTTACAATCCTCTCATATCTTAGCTAGAACATATTAGGTACTATAGTTAGATTCTTCAAGATAGGACAGCTATTGGAGTAATCTCAGTAGCTTGCCATTTGCTACGATCTGGACATTTCTGGACATTTAGAGTGTGTTTCTTGTTTCCTGCTGTTCTTGTTGGTTGTAGTTCCATTTTTGTTTATGTTAGTACCCTTTGTTTCTCCTGAACAATACTTGCTTGCTTGATAACTGTTTTGTTATATATAATTTTACTATGTTAAAGTTAAAACCTTCCTTTTTGATTAGACAGAAAAGGAGAAGTGCTATGGGATGTCTTTTTGTACGCTGTGAATATATGTCACTCTCATTGGCTAATAAATAAAGCTGCATTGGCCTATGGCAGGGCAGAGTGGAGCCAGGCAGGAAATCCAAGAGACATGAGAGAGAAGAAAGGTGGGGTCAGGGAGCGCTGTAGGCCGCTGCCAGGAGAAGCAAGATGTGAGAGGGCAGGTAATTCTCAAAGCCACGCGACAAAACAGATTAATAGGAAAGGGTGGAGTCAAGTTATAAAAGCAAGAAGCCTGAGCGTAGGCCATGTAGTTTGTAATTAATACAAGCCTCTGTGTGTTTACTTGGGACTGAGCAGCTGGGGGACCAGGTGGGACACAGGAAAACTTCCGTCTACATAAGTCGGTACACATTTTCTAAAATCTGCATTTAAAAATGCTCAGTAAGCATGCCAAAGTCCTTGCTGTGTGTATTCCCTTTCTGTACTGGTTTGTTTTTGAGCTAACTGAGAGTGATCAAGTGGAGGAAGTCCTGGGGAGACAGATCAATAATAGCTCGGCTTGGAGACAGAGTTGAATGTGTGTGTGAAATTTATTCCATAGCATAGGATAGTTTAAATTCTCTCAAGTGAAACTTAAGGTACAGCTGTGCCCACTGTCCTCTGTGCTGTAATAGATGCTCAGACATCGGACTTAGAGAAACCAAGCACAGAAGTGTGGGCACTCCCTGTCTGCCCCTGACCACTCAGTGTTGATTACTGTAGGGCCATGTCTGTAGCTAATTTCATATCTTACTTGGATTTTCTAAAGGCGCCATCAGAATCTCCCAATACATATATGATGCATCATTTTAAGTGAGGAATAACTGGGGTAGGGTGGGACTTGAACTAAGGGAAATTAAGTTTCCATGAAGAATAACGTAAAATTTTCTTTGCTTTTCATCTTATTAATATGCATTTTATTCTTTTCAACAAGGTGGCATTTGGCCTACAAGACATATGTTGCGATTTAATGATGTTTGATTTTTTTCTTTTAGTTATTTGTATAGGTGTTTTGCCTGTACATATGTCTGTACACTGCTGTGTACCTGATGCCCTCTGAGGCCAGAAGAGGGCATCAGATCCACTGGGATTAGAATCATAGAAATGTGAGCCTCCATGTGGGTGCTAGGAGTTGAACTAACCATTGAGCCATCTCTCCAACCCCTGTAATTTGTATTTTATTGAAAACTCATAATAATGCTTTTCAGAGCTGTTGGGGCTGTTGCTTTTATGGCTATGTCATCTTTTCTTGGTTCATTTTTGGCAGATAAGATAACACACGAAGATATCGAAGGCGTTCTGCAGAAGTTTACTGGGAATATAATGCAAGTACCCCCACTGTAAGTTCAGCTATTAAATTTGTTTAATTTTGTCATCTATAGGTTAACATCAATAATTAGAATAAAGTGGGCTTTTCTTTTGCTCTGTTTTAATCTGGACATTGTAAATAATCAAAAAGAGATGAGCAGATTCAGCCTGGATGCAAAGCTTTGATCCTGAGACAGAAGAGCATTCAGATCTGTGCTGGATGTTAGCACAGCCTGGCCTCTGTGCGTCCCGTTTCACTGACTCTTCAAGTTCTGTCTGTAGATAACAGGGCAGATCCGGGGATGTCACTCTCCCTAAAATTAAGTAACAGGACTGTGTTAAAGCAACAGGCCTGTGATTCGGAGTCACAGTGTGTGCTGCCTACCTGCCCCAGGATCTGTCCGGCATATCCAACAGAGAAAAGCTACATTTGTAAAGAATGTGGGTGTAACTGCCTCACCACTTGTCTTGGCACACTAAGGTGCCTATAATAAACACCGCAGACTCGGGAGCTGCTTCCCATGGTCCTGGAGGTTCCGTCCAGGCCGAGGTGCTGGCGGATGGCTTTGCTGGGGAAAGCTGCCTTCTCATAGATGCTCTGCCTTGGTGTGGCGTCTGTCTGGGGCCACCGCCACCTCCTTGCGGGCTCTGGTTTATGACCTGGTCACCCTCCAAAAGGCCACTCCTCCTAATGCCATCATCTTGGTACTTAGAATTTCAGCAGGTGACTGGAAGGGGAGGTAGTCAGGCCCCAGTGCCACTTAGCCATATTTGTGTGCACATTGCTAGGATAGACCTAGGATATTTATATTTTATTTGTGTTTAGAAGTCTTGTTTTTGTTTTCTCTAAGAGCATTTTTCTCAAATACAAAACTTTGAAATTTTTAGGAACATCTGCATAAAATGTTTTAATCATTTGTTAGACTAAGTTAAACATATATGTTTATTGTATGTGAACTTCTTTAGCATTTTCTGTGATTATCCATGGGTTTGTGGTGTCATGAGATTACATAACACAAAGCTGAGCTCTGTTTCCTGTGTGAGACATTTTTCATGGAGAAGCTGCTTCTGAGCTGGGGGTTAGTGAAGGGAGCTGACAAGGTCATCTCCAGGAAAGCTAAAGAAGAAAATGGATGCTGCTCACTGTTTATATCTGTCTCAGAGATATGTAGGGACTTCATCCCCAGAATAGTAGCAGACCAGGAGAAAAGACTGTTGAATTTTAGAAGGGACTTGGGTGTAAGGAGCTGCTCATCATCCTTCATCCCATGCCTCTGGGAATTATGCTCTCCACACTGTCAACTCTCTCACTCCCACTCTCTCCTTATCACAAAGCTATTCTGCACTGAAGAAGGATGGGCAGAGGCTTTCAACGTTAATGAAAAGAGGTGAAGCCGTCGAGGCCAGACCTGCCAGGCTGGTGACTGTGTACAGCATCTCCCTCCAGAGATTCCAGCCACCGCTTTTCACTTTAGGTATGATGGAGAGGTTTGAAATAATCTGCTTTGCTCATATCTTTATTTTGTGTTAGGCTAATTTTACATAGTTAGAATGGATCCTTTTGGTCTTGGAATTTCTTTGCATGTAAGAAAAGTTATGGTTTGATTTCTTGAGTTAAATGTAACTAACTCTGTAGAGGTTCAGAAATACCTAACTAGGCTGGTTTTCAGATGTTTTGCTATCATTTTACTATAAACTTGGGAGTTAAATACTTTAGATCTCTTCAGAGAAGTAGGTAGAGGATGTGTATTTTCAAGATTTTAGAGTTGGGGCCTCGAGAGATGGCTCAGTGGTTAAGAGCACTGGCTGTGTTTCCAGAGGACCTGGGTTTGATTCCCAGCACCCACATGACAGTTCACAACCCTCCATAACTCAGTCTCAATGGTTCCAACACCTTCTTCTCACCTCCTTGGGCACCAGCTACACACATGATATGCAGACATATGTGCAAATAGATTCCCCAGACATGTAATAATAAAAATATATATAAGTTAAAATTTGTTTTAGTTTTTATCTTACAGATACTTTTCCTTCCATTTTGATTCATACTTAATGCATTTCATTTTAGAGTAACTATTGATATGCCCCTTTCAGACAGAGCATGTTTAGTTAGTTTAGGGATAAAAGGCTGTAAAAGTGAACTGGTTTCTATCCCGTCCCTTCTTTATGACCTGCAGGTTAGTTCCAATGATGGGAAAATATGGGAGAAATAGGTGAGACAGATGTGTTGTTGGACACCTGGTCACATCTTTAGTTCAGGTTGTCAATTTGAACATCCATATTTGAAGTAAATTTAAAAACGAAGAAACACTTGTTTCTATAGTTTAAAGTTGTCTATGTAGTTTTAAAATGTAGTTGTTAGTCCTTGGGCTCCTTGAAATCAATCCAGCCCTTCATTTCACAGTAATTGTGACTAGAATCCCTTTTAGATGGCATTTCCCAACGCCTTTCCTTCCTTCACCTCACTGCTTCTCCTCGCCTCACTGCCTCCCCTCTCCCTCACTGCCTCTCCTCGCCCTCACTGCCTCTCCTCACCTCACTGCTTCCCCTCGCCCTCACTGCTTCTCCTCACCTCACTGCTCATCCTCTCCCTCACTGCCTCTCCTCGCCCTCACTGCTTCTCCTCACCTCACTGCTTCTCCTCACCTCACTGCTTCTCCTCACCTCACTGCTTCTCCTCACCCTCACTGCTCATCCTCTCCTCACTGCTTCTCCTCACCCTCACTGCTTCTCCTCTCCCTCACTGCTTCTCCTCACCTCACTGCTTCTCCTCTCCCTCACTGCTTCTCCTCACCTCACTGCTTCTCCTCTCCCTCACTGCTCATCCTCACCTCACTGCTCATCCTCTCCCTCACTGCTCATCCTC